GGCCGCGGTGACCAGCCCCTCCCGCCATGGACGTCAGGCTGCGGGGCGGGCCGTGGATCCGGTGGCGGGAGGGCGATTCTACGCCGAGGCTCCCACGACCACAGGTGGGGAGACGGCGCCGCGGGCCGGGCGGGGAGCGCCCGTCACCCCGCCCTGCGTGCAGAGCCCCGACCGACCCACCCTCAAGGCCTGGAGATGCTGCCTGGAAACGAAGGCGGGACACCGGGAGTTCAGACTCCCTGGGCCGTCCCCATCTCCCTCCCGTAGGCCGGAGCCCCGCCGCGCACGAGGCCGGCGCAGGCGCGCTGGTCCTGGGATGGAGGGCCAGGTGTGCCCTCTCCATCGCTCCTCCACCCTGTGGGCGGCAGGGCTCTGGCGGTGGAAGGCCTGAGCCAAGGGCCGGGAGCACCGCGCGGGAGCCCAGGGGGCGGCCGGGGGCCAGCCTGCTTCTGCCTCCACCTTCATCCTCAGTCCCTGGCTGTCAGGACAGGTCTGCGTGGGGTGACCTCAGGCTGGAGTGCTGCCGGTGAGCTGAGACTGCATCATGTCCGCTGTTAGTACACCGTGGTCTCCATTCCCAGTGCCTAACCCAAGGACATAGCAGGCAGCCCACAACAAGAAAGGGAGAGTATTGTACCTGCAGGAAGCAGGCTGAGGGCCCCCTTAGAGAGCCGTCATCCACCTGGCCCCGCCCGCCAAGGCCCCGCCCGCCAAGGCCCCGCCCACCCAAGGCCCCGCCCACCCAAGGCCCCGCCCACCCAAGGCCCCGCCCACCCAAGGCTGGAGCAGCAATTCCCCTGCGCCCCTAAAAACTCCTAAGGCCCCTTGGGCCCTATGGTTTCCTCCTCCCAGACTTCGGAGCACCTTGTGGAGGCCGCCGTCCCCTCTCAGCAGAATCCTTGTGAGTAGGGGTGGCTGTGCTGTGGGCTGCCCAAATGTGTGTGTGTGTGGGGGGGGAGGCTCACTGCAGTTCTCAATCTGGAAAGATCCCTGAAAAGTCTCCTTGTGAGGACAGAAATTGGGGCCCACAGAGGTCCCAAAGTCAGCCAGCAAGTTGGTGGCATCCAGGGAGCCGCTGACCCACACCTTGTCCCGCCCTGGGCTGCCCCAGTCTGGGTGGACCTCAGGGCATTTGACTTGAGGCCAATCAGCTGATTTGAGTGGATTGAAACAGACCTTGGATCTGAGCCTCCAGGGCTTCAAACCAGGTGCAACTCAGCCTCTTGCCCTCCTTCTCTGGGCCTTAGTTTCCCCATCAGGTCATAATGCATGTACCCTGAGAAATCACTGGTAACATCAAGAACATTTGAAAGTTCTTGCCACTGTGTCCGAGCTCACCAAATAGTGGTTATGGCGATGCAGTCATTATTGAAGCAGACCAGAAAGCAGTGCATCAGGGCCGTGGCTATTCACACCTGTGCCTTCACCATGCCCCCCATGACCGGGATTCACGGGAAAACAGATGGAGCCATCATGGAAAAACGCTGCGCGCTGCTTTCCGAGCTGCCTGATGGGAAGGAGGCGTTTTGTCAGAGGCTTTCCGGGGCTTGAGACACGGGGCTATGGATGGCCTAACCGTGAGGCCTGGACTCTTCACTGTCCAGAGAAAGATCTGGGCCTCGGTGGAGCCTAGCCCTCCCTGCCCAGCTTAGCCCCGCCCCATCAGGGGCACCAGCTGTGTGGGGGCCTTCCAGTGATTATCATGTTTCCCAGGGGACTCCCATCTCCTCCTGGGAATCTTTCCCAGACACAGGCCTTCTCGCCGCACAAGCCTGCCCCGCTGCTCCTGCTAGAGGCCCTGCTGCGTCCCCCTCCCCCTCCCCTCCCCCCCCCCGTGTCCTCAAGCAGGGCCACGGTCTCCTGGGCTGGCTTGAAGAGGGTGCTATGGTAGGAGTGTGCCCCTAGATTCCAGTGGGGATGGTGCTGCAGGGGCCGAGGGAGGGGAGGGGAGTTCAGAGGGTGGCCCCGTGCTGAGCCGGCAGCCCACTGTGTCCTGCCTGGGACGTCCTGTGCCAAGGCCCCCACAGGTGCCAACACCATGCTCTTGGTTTTTCCGCCCTCTGGAGCCAGGAGCCAGGCCCACCCAGTGTGGTGGTGTCATCGCGATGAGAGGGCTAGGAGAGGGAAGTGTGAGAGGAAGAGTATGAGCTGGGCCTGGGGAAGGGAGGGCGTGGCCCCCAGTGCTGGGCTGGCTGGGGGGGAGGAGGGCCTGGGGTGGTACGGTGGGGGAGGAGGGCTCGGGGTGGTACGGAGGAGCCGGGTTCCGTGGAGGGAGCAGAGGATGGCCATGAAGCTGTACCCAAGAGGACTGCTAGGGACCACAACAGCTAACACAGTCACAACGGGGCAGCTGCGTCCTTAGATTGTTCTGTGCCCTATCCCACAGGCTGGAAATGTCATTCCAGCGATCCTACAGTCGCGATAGTATCACTACCCTCATCACCATTACCATCAACACTGCCGCCATCTCTACCACCATTACCATCACCACCACCATCAACATCACTATCACCATCTTCACCACCACCACCATCATCAACATCACTATCACCATTACCATCAACATCACCACCACCATCAACATCACTATCACCATTACCATCACCACCACCAACATCACCACCACCATCAACATCACCACCACCATCAACATCACCTCCACCATCAACATCACTATCACCATTACCATCACCACCACCATCAACATCACCACCATCATCATCACCACCACCATCAACATCACTACCACCATCTTCACCATCAACATCATTATCACCATCATCACCACCATCAACATCACTATCACCATTACCATCACCACCATCATCAACATCACTATCACCATCTTCACCATCTTCACCACCACCACCATCAACATCACTATCACCATTACCATCACCACCACCATCAACATCACTACCATCATCCACATCACCACCATCATCAACATCACCACCATCATCAAATCACCACCACCATCTTCACTACCACCATCATCATCATGCCCGTTTTAGTTTCTCCTGAGGCCTAGCAAACTGTCACACAATGAGGCATCTGCAATTGTGCCCCCTCCTAATCAGTCAGTCCAAGGACTGAGCATAAAGTACCCAGACAAGAGGTAGTGCCCCGTAGTGCTAGTACAATATGCGGGGCCTCTTCTCCTGGATGGCGGAGGCCTGGCCCCTGGGCTTTGTGTGGTATTCCTCCTTGGAGAAGCTACCCCAGTCTGGGTCCTGGCCCCTCTCTCCCTCCACCTGTGTCTGTCATCCTGCGATCACCTTGTGTCTTGGTTTCTAGAGCACCCTGGGGCTTTCCGTGTCCATGGTGCTCTGGGGGTCCCTGTGGCACAGAGGGAGACCCGCTGGACAGGGGCATTTGTGTGGACCCCCCATTCTGCAGAGGAAAGAAGCCAGGCCTGTGTGAGCCCCCTTCAGGCTGCAGAGCTCCCACACATTGCTTCTGTGGAGGCCCCCCCCCGGGGCCTGGACTAGAAAGGAGGTGTTTGCCCTGGAAACCTAGCTGTGCGGAAGCCCCGCGGGCAGCGGGCAGCAGTGCAGCAGCGCGGCCGCGGAGGCCCGGGCAGCGTCTCGAGCTGAATGCCTGCCCGCTCGCTATGGGAGAGCCCGGGCACCCTCCGCTCCGTCCTCCGCTCCAAATGCAGCCCAGGAATTGATTTGCCTCTCAGTTAACGGAGAAAGAGATGAAATACGATTTCATTGTGGATTCCCTCCAACCGCTCAGTCATTTACAACCACGCCACGTGAAACCCACAGGGAAAAAAACAGCTCGAGACTCACAGTTTGGAGCCTCGCTCCAAGGCGGGTCTGTGCACTTGCGGGTCACCTTTGGCTAACCCCAGTCCTGCAGATGGGCTGCCCAGGCCACAGGTGCGGGAGGGGATCGCGGAGGACGCGCGCGTGAGTGATGGTCCCATCGAGTCATGGAAAAGAGTAGAAAATGTTGGCCTGATTCTGGGAATGCCTCACACAGAACAAAGCGTGGACCAGGCTGAGCTGCTGTTACTCTTAGGCCTGTGCAGTAGAAATCGGAGAAGGGAAGGAAGGAGAAAGGAGAGGGAGGAAGAGTGTCAAGGGCTAAGGTTCCA